GTGCCCTCTGCAATTTTGTAACAATCCCCTTTGCTCAACTCGGTGGAGAAAAGTTTATCTTATCAATTACCCATACTCATCTTAAGTCTTGCCAACAGTTTGTCAGTCCGGACAATTTCCCGTAATCTCCTATCTAACATTCAAGCCGTTTGTTCTCCGTTCTACATGTAGTCTCGCAACACTGTCTTGTCAAAACATCCACTGATTTAAAATGACATCTGATTCTCTTGCGTTGGTGATTTATGATACTACACGCACAATGTATGCTCCTCACAATGTTTGTGTTGTTATCCCTGTAAACCACGAGAGGGCTGATGAGATCCCGCATGAAATGTCGTCGCAGTGGACGACCTGTACACTTATGCTGATGATATGTTTTTCAAATTTATTTTAAGGAATTACCGTTTCGTATTCTCCTAATAAGGTACCTCGAATTGAAGGGATAATCAACGTAAATATCTGGCAGGATGTCGAAAGTCTGCCGAGCATAGTTTTCATGCAAGTACCACGCACTAGTCGAACACGACGAGTGGAAAATTAGAACTAAATACTCCGGGACGGTCAGTGATAAGTTGACAATCTGTTAGTGCAAGTTTCACACCAAAAAGTCTAAGCCAAACGAAAGACGATGATAGAGCTGCGTTCCAGGGCTTATTGATTTCCTCGCTATGCGGGAGATAGCAGATTTAACAGTTATTTGTGAACTGCGTTGTTATCTTGTGTTCGGTAACAACCTGGGACCAAGATGAACACTATTGTCTCGCAAATTTTCGGTGGCGCCATATCAGTCTTATCAGACGATATGTCCAAATCGTAGGTATTTTATTTATCGGACAGCCCCATTGACTAGAACTGTTTATTGCACAAAATCGTGTCAGGCTACGAGACTACAAAAATGCGGTAGAAGTCCTCCCCATTTATGGTGCTTGTTGTGAATTCATCTTAACAAAGATGAATTTTAACACATATTGATATGCAGAGCACTCGGGCCACTCGGCAAACTACCGCGATTCGACTTAACCCAAACCATTGTTTTTATGAATTTAGTTGTGATAAGTGGAAGGACGAATTACTTTGCCGGTTTACAGCTGTCTCTTCAGTAGCATTCATTTTCGCGGAAAACAGCATTTTCCTTGTGGGTGGAGTGCTGAGGTCAGTAAAACTCTCAAAAGTATCCGTTCGATGTACCAAGTTAACGATACTTCTGTATTGTAGTATACATACACGATGTAGAACGTGGACGCGTTTTAACCGCTCTAAAAGGAATTTGGTCCTATATGACCAGTTCACCCCCAAGTGCTATTCTACACTGCATCGTCCACATCGCAAAGGATTGTAATGCATCGCTCTGTTTCTATGAAATCTTTCCAGCCACTGTTCATCAACATTCAAACGGAACAACATCTAGCCAGCTGAAACAAGTATCTCAAGATCGGTTAGGCGCATGATCGTCTGGACCAGTGGACGGAGCTCCAAGGGAGGCGTATATAGATTTGTCGAGGTCAAGGGATCACAAGAGTCCACGGCGGCCCTTTGACACGTGATTAAGTAACGTCGTCAAATGTGAATGGTGTAATCTCAGACACTGCTTAGCCGAACCAGTGAGTGACAGCTTTAGTGACAATCAACCGAATTAACCTCTAGGGTACAAAATATGAGCCGATACATCAACTTATTTAGGTGAATGAAAAACCTATTCGCGTTTGTGAAAGGTAGCCGAATCAGTGGTTGTAGGAAACCATACAGCTGGCCTCCACACAGTCTCCGCATATTTGAGGATATCTATCAACGGTCGCTCGGCGAGTCCAAGTAAAATAATGGCTTCACCGTCAGTCATGGGCTCAGAAGTACACGAAATCTCCGCAACTGGTGAGGCGCACTGTGTAAACTAGTTAGTTACGGGGAAACCTAAGGATAGATATCCTCTTTCAGCATTCACATCAGACGTTAATTTTTCACATCCGAATCGACTGAATCAGTCAGTCTTCATCAGTTGATCGCCAGTTCAGACCGGAGGATAAGAACTGAGAAGGAAAACTAAGGAAAACTACAAATAATTCTGTGGTGAACGTTGGTTTCGAATAGCAGCAACTGATGTAGATGGGCAAAAGTCATGGAAGATAAAATGAGAAGCGAGGAAAGTGGGTTGATTGTAATTTTACACTTTGAGTTTACCTTGATATGCAAATTCCTCAAGTTCCGTCTCCTGAAGTTTCGGGGGTCTAGTGTTCTGTTTTTTTTAAATCACAAACACTTTGGAACTCAGACCTTGAGGGATTTCTACCCATGTGTAACTCAGACAGTTCTCTACGACGTGCACGCGAAGAAGAGACATCACAACGGCTTCCAGTCAGTAGGAAGCGGCAGGAATCGAATGACCATACAAAAATCAATTCGCACTGGGAATCACTGAGTCAACATTTGTTTGTGCAACTAAGTTAGATGGTATGCCGTTCCGAAAAGTCTGTCCTTGGTTTCCAAGTTCTGCACATCCACACATCAACTGAAGGCTTTGATGAACATGCAGTTTCGTTGCTTGCCAATTATCAGAAGGCTAACATATTCAAATGCAGCAGTAAGCAGCCAGCTGTCAGCCAGTAAGCGCCCCCCCCCCCAAGCATTGCCCACGTGACAAAGTGATTTCAGAAAACACAACCATCTGATTGAGTAGAAAACTTCCTAGGACTCGACGAAAATATTTTAAAGGGCGTTTACCTCCCAACACCCAAAACAGCCGAATTTACGCACGGGGCCACAAAGCTCCCTGAATAATTGCTCAAGCAAGACTACTGAGGGCCATCACGGAAAAGCGGAGCAGTTGTGCTAAGAGGGAACAGCTATCTGATCGGGGACTACACCTACCTGATGAGCCCCAAGAAGGGCGAAATCGGTCGTGGGCTGTCGAAGAGTTTTCAGCAACTTTGTGAGTAGTTTCTTTTATGAAAGCTATCTGACCCGTTCATGTTGATCTGAGATACGAAATCAACTGAACAAGCTTCATCCATCTGTTTGGCTACTAGCTATCCATTTAGCTGGAATCGCATGGAGACTAAGGGCTTGCTTCCTCTGATGAATAAAATGACTGAGGCGGCCTACTTAGTATTCCGCATGACCGATGACTGAGATCTGAACTCATGTAATTCTCGTGTAAGGGCAAAGGTTCATCAGCTTGGAATTTACCCACAGAAGTTTTAGGTAAAGAGACTGGGAACGGCTGAAGAATTTTGGTTTGGTCGGGGTATGTACCTTAAGCGCAAAAGCGGGAATCTAGCAGATCACAAACCACATACACCGCTTACAATTTAATTTACGTGTTTTCAACTAAAACACGTCTGTGTAACTGCTTTTGGTCGGTACTTGCTTGCTTCTGTACTAATTCAAGTGTTTAAGAGCTTCACTTTACTCAAACGTGACTATATTACTATTTAAAACGTAAGGAAGATGTTTATTGAAGCTCGTGGTCAGTCACGAGCTCCGTCCACTCAGTCAGTGTTCAGCCCCTGAGTGGCATTATGCCCAACTGGTAGTGCAGTTGTCTTCTTCAAAACAAATGCCTTATTACTGCAGTATCTTTATATAACTTCGTCTCGATCATCGTTTATTTCAATGAACAAGTCACATAGAAAGAATAACCTGGAGCGACTGCTATTCACCGGTGACGCATCATGGTGAAAAGTTTTAGACCTACCAACACGATAATGGGGTCTTTAAACTTCAACTGAGTGGTTTTAAAACTTTGCTGTGGAATGTAACTGCTGTGGGTCATCAAAATACTTGAATCTGCCGTAAAGGAAGCAAGTGATTCACCCCAATTCACTGTCCTTTCCACCGCCTATGGAAAATACAAACGCCTCTCTCTTATCTGTATGGCTGACTCATAGTTGGGCCAACGGACAGCTTCAGTTCAGTTTCACATCACTCTCTTGTTGAACAGTAGTCCTCCTGTCCTGGTGCAATCATTCGTGTGAGTCCACTCCAAAAAAGGGAAGCGCTGGACATGCGAGGCGAACGTGATACCACTATCCCACCAGCGCAAGTTGGATGCATCTGAACTCTCACGTCTGAACGGGCGAACACAGGCCAATCGATCGTCACAACCAGGACAGTTACTGGGTCGTCGTATCGATGATGTGTTGCGCATACTAATCACATCGCCCAAATGAGAACACGTTCTTTCGTTCAGGCGTGCGATGGAACCCATGAGGAACCCACACTTGGACATCTTTTGCTGCACTGGGTTTCAGTACTACAATCCTGCCAAGGAAAGGAGCGAAAGGATGAAAGGGATGATACAGGATCAAAAACCTTCACTATGGACTTGGAGTACGCAATCGATTGGCAAATAAAGAGGTTTGAATTCACTGGCACTCGCCTTCAAATGAATAATGATATTAGGGGTTAGACCGGGGAGTAACTTCATTTTACTGGACGGATTGTTCAGCGATGTCATTTTTTTCAACGTCATATAATTGGGACGCAGGACAAACAAATCCAGATGTGTCTGTCTTGCACTGACTGCTGTTCCAAAGATAGTTACGGACGGGGGGTCGCCTAAACATCAGGTATGAGGTTAGCCTAGAAAACTACTGCTGCCGGTGTTAAAGTACGAAACGCTTATGACGTCATCAACTTATCCTGATTTTCTTCGATCCCGTTCAACTAAGAACGGTCAAGGCACAGTATTTATAGCAGCGTCCGTTGAACTTACGATCAGTTTTCGAGTCAGTATAGACAGGAAACAGAAGACAGCATGCTGTGTGCCAATGAGTGCAAAACTTCAATAACATGTTCGAAACTGGGTGGGAAAATACAGAATCTTTTGAGAGTAGGAGAGGCCCCTGATTGGTTATCAGCAAGGGATAATTTTTATTGCTTTTGATGCAGGAAATTTTGCTCTCCTCCTCCAACTTACATTCACAGTTGTTGTCTTCAGTCCATACGCGATAGAGAAGAGCGTGTTGCCGTGGTGAACGGTGCCTAGCTGCCATGCCACCCGAAGGAAGCACGGGGCTGGAATACTATCAGGTTGCTCAAGCCTAGACAAGAGAAGTCGAGATGCAGAGGACGGGTTCGAACCACGGACCTTCCGGTCAGTAAATCCGCGCTCTAACCACATGAGCCATCTCGCCCCTCATGTGTCGAATACTAATAGTGCGTATCCACATCTCACAGAAGCGGAAATTAGTGAGCGCGAAGTGTTCTGTGTTAGGTAATTGTTATCCTTTCGTCTAACTGAGCTACCTGATGTTTGCATAAAACAAGCATGGAATCCAAATTCCTGAGGGATCATCCGATATGGCTTCAGCCGATGTGAACTCCCTCTGTGTTCCTCAGACCGTGTACTTAGAAGTTCAAGCTTTTTAAACTACCTGGATTACACTTTTATCATAACTAAATATCAGTTTCTTTCAACCATGATTCTATACTACGTGATATGATGCTTCGATTCTGCACTTCGTGTGAATACTATGGCCAAGATGACTTATATTTACCTGCTTCGAACCCGGAGGTGTGTCTCCAGGATAGGTTTAACCATTTTAGGTGTTTGTCTTCTATTCGAAGCGCATTTTACCCGGCTATTCTTGACCATAGGCAACTTCGCTCCGCACTGTCACATGTGGACTGTGATGTACTCCTGTTTGATTGGTAGGTTATTCAGATATATAGGTCAGGAAATTGCTCAAGCAACCTTTCGGCCAGATAACTTTCGCTACTTTGGATTTGCTAGATTTCCGTCAGAAATCAGGTGAAAGGTCAGACGAAGTCAGGGGTAGACATGTGAAATAGAGGACACAAATGCCAGCGGGTGGCAGTCAGATAAACCCACTTCGTGAGACGAGTTTTCTCGTTTGTCAGTTTACTTTTGGCGGCAAAAGTGCCAACCTTGAGAAGTGCCGGTCCACCATTCATCACTCGACCGTGTAAACATAAGTTTCGTGTTTACGGTCAGTCTTTGAATATATGGACTATCCATCTCATTGGTTCAGTTGGCTTTCTACCGTTCACATTTAGCTACTTTAGGCAGTGTGAGCTTCACTACTGAAGGGCCACGTGACATAGCAGTTTGCATCGAGCACGTGGTTGTAACAAGCTCCGTCGTTTTCATCAACTGTACCTGGCAGCCAACTTAGGCGCGATTCGATCCAGCTAATTAACAGCCTTCCAGCAGTGCCCATCAGGATAAAACTAAGGGTTAAACAGACGGTTCGGAAAGTCTGGTATCAATCGGCAGATTCATTGCTGAGCAGCGTTTCGCTTTTGACACAAAAGCTTCGTCAGGCCAAGTGACTAAATTTCGAGGTTAGTCAGGATTTAAGGCGGAAAAAGAACCAAACAGCCAAGTCCAGCTCAATCTGTGTTGGGTGTCGGCCTAGGGATTTTGTGTGTTAGGGTTGGTCACCAAGTGTTAAGCCGATGAAAAATGCAACTCCAGAATCTCCCCGTAAATATTCGAATGATCTCAGCTGCTGTTCACATCAGAGCCCTAGATTACTCGACCGGTATTATGCCTGTTGTTATGACAACTATCCCCTAGCGGAAGCACTGAACTTGAGTTACGACGCAAAATGCGAAGCGCTGATAATTCCATCTTCAGTTCCTGTTCTGCCCCCATCATACCGTTTTGTACGTGACCATTCGTCATGTAGTCGCCCTGAATCCGATAATGTATCTTATCAGTGGCTTTAGGGCCAGTCTGTGGGTGCGGTAATTGAACTCTAATTCGTTTATGATTGGTCAAGTCGGGGTAGCGTTTTAGAGCTCATAGCAAAGCATTTCGCCGTGATTAATTCCATTGTAAAGTATTCTAGCAGAAAAATCACTAACATCCTGCAGATCATATTCGAAACTTTTGTATCTGTGAAAAATTTTCCACTGGAATAGATGAATCAAAAATGAGAACAGTGTGAATGTATAAAAGCGCTCCACTTGAAAAAAGTCAGTGGCACAGTCCTGATCTTATCAGAATATGAAGTATTTCAGTGCACCGCTGACGTCCCCACTCCTATTATGGAGAGCACCACACCAGTAGTAATTACTATTGCCGTGCTGTCATACACAAGAATAGTTTTCAGATGGAGTGGGATGGGATGCACGACGTACTCATAAAGTGTTTCATTTGTCCCGCTTGATTACACAACGGATAAGATACCCAAGCTAATTTAATCGGGCCAAGACTGATGTGATATGAAATCACCCTCACGTGCAAGGATCCCCGTTGCTGTCAGTCATGTCTCGCCCCCAAATCTGAAGCATCAGAAGCCTGTGTTCGTCCGACCAAACGATCCCCAACCAGAGGATGTTTTGAGTCACGAACTATCGCCATATCAGTGGACTGATCCTTTGTTACCTGATATACTTCCTTAAAAATTGTTGTCTCAGTCCTGCCGTCCGACCAAGCCCAACCATGCTACGAGTTTTTCAAGTTTCCCTTCACGTTGCATCCATGTGGTGATACGAGAGTGCATTTCCGATATTGGTAACTTCAGAAGGGAATTCTCCACCTGTTGACAACCACATGAGGCTGAGATCAACAAACAACAACAACAAATTTTCAAAACTAATTGTTCAGTTGCTCTGTTGTTCTCTTCACCAAACTTGGCAATTGGACTGCAAGCTCTTCATCACCAATCGAGGTGATATCGTTTGTACGGAGTTAGGTGGCCCAGTTCCCGCAATTCTCGCACATTCTTCTTCTCAGATATCATCCCATGAAATCCGAGAGTCATAAACAGATCTGCTTTAGTAAAAGTGTTTTGTGTACCTGCTTTTCTGCTGGTGTGAACAAAACTATTTAAAAAATGAAAACGAGTCCCCATTCTCGTTTATCCAAACATCCATAGCTGCCCTCGATACACGGCACTCCCTTTGCATAAGCCCCCCTCCCAAAAAAGAAGTAATACCTCGAAGAAAAAGAGCAACCTCTTTTACACTGATTCATTTCTATATGAGGAACCTGTTTTTAGAGACGCTTCAAACAGGGAAACCGTTGTGGCTATTGTTTTTTCCGTAATCTCTGTTACAAGCTAAATTCTTTCACTGTCCGACAGGTACCATTTCGCTCGAATGGTCGTTGTGTAGCATAGAATGCACCGAGTTTTACTTACTCAAGGCAGACCGAGACACTGCAAGACTGCAGTTTGTGACCAAAAGCGGAACTCATATGTGCTTATGCATGCGAGGGGGTCTGTTGTGTGCCCAAAATTACCCATCTTTCTTCGAACAGCGTCTGGTTGAATTAGAGGTAATCGGAAATTTCTAGATGCATTGACTACCCGTTGACTGTTAACAAAGAACAAATCAACCAACTAGAGTTATCTTCTATCAGTGTAGTTGTTTTGAAAACTTGTCAATTGTGGGATCCGAGGAGCCTCCGTCTGAGATAGCGGATAAAATGGTGTAAAGACCAAAAGCCTTGGTCATAGAAACCCGCAATTGTAAGTAACATCCCAGATTTTCAGCAAATACATATGTTAGTGCTCTAGTTGTGACGTAATTAAGTTGATTATCGGAAGGTAACAAGCACTAACAAATGTCTCTTTTATTGGAATGTGATGAATACAATAGTTGGGTGCATTGATAAAAATAGATACAATGCAAAAAGTGGAATAAGCCAAAAAAAGTGACTTATCGTTTGAGGGCACTTGTTGAGAGTTCCTTAGTGAAGTTCCGGACGCGGGACGTGTCTTCTCTGCAGTATAGCTGCTACACGTGTTCCGTAGTTGTCCGTGGAGTCTTGCAGAGCTCTGTTGACTTGCTGTCCTGTGCGCGCGAGTGTGTATGTTGAGCCCAGTTGTATGCCTATTTATTGTGTGTATTGTGAAGAGAGGGGTGTCCCTTCGTGTTTGATACTTGCAGGAACATAAATACAACTTGACCTGATATGTTGAATAAAGTTCGTAATCCTGGCGCGTGACGCAAGTGGTAGCCGCGTAAACGAAATTGGTTGAGAAGTTTTACTGTACATGTTGTCGGCTAAGGTTGCAAGTGGGACATGAATTGTCACCTGGTTTGAGTGTTTGTGACGCACCTTTACCGTTTTTGTGTCTGAATGATCTGTTATGTCCGTAACACTTTAATATAAAATATAGGAGGTATTGTATATCAGTTTCCCACCAAATACTGGAAACAAACCACGTACGTTTTCAGTATCAGTTGATGGGGGCTGATGGAGCCAATAGAGCTTGCACAGTAGTATATCAAATCCGATTTAAGTTCTATCCAAACCTTAAAATAACCAACAAATCGAAATCAAAAACAGATCTTGGGTCTTTGACTATGTTTCTGATAGGGAGAGAGAGAGAGTCAAGGTTAGGAACTCCTGATGATGCTCGCAACTTACCAGCTTCGAGTTCTCACGTCACTGATAGTTTGACTTTCAGTTGTTTCGAACTGTCAGTGGAATTGTTGCTGCCTGTGATAAACATTCGCACGCAAGGTTTGAGAAGACTTGAGTAAATGTGGTATCGAATCTTGAGGTATTAGAGGTCCGAACAAAAGAAAGCACAGTGCCATATAAGACTTGTGAGTAATGTCAGTGTTTGACACGCGTTGAGCCAGGGGAAGTACAAAGATCTGCTGTGCACAGTCGGTCGCGACACCTCACCACCTCAAGTACTCAGGCCACAAGGTGAAACAAATATGCACAGCCACAAAGTATAGGAAAGCTCCAAGCAGGTCACATGGCCAAATTTGTGAGTGCGCTGCTGAACACCCTGGCTAATGAAGCGGCAGGCGAGATTGGAAAAATATGGACACCGTGCATCCCGAGGACCCATATATATAGGTAATGAAAAACTAAAAAACCCTTAATTTTGGTAACGTAGTGTTTGGCATAGGACACCATTTCGAGCTCAGTTTTGTTGCTCAAGTTTTCGGCCAACTAGGGCAGCCTTCGTGAGCAGAGGAGTAGTCGCGGTCCTATAGACAAGGGAACAGATGAAGGCTGGTGTCAACGGTGAAGCGGCCAACAATCTGTGCTGTGATTTAGTTACTCAAACTCATGTTCGGACACATGGGTAATGTTGGGTTTGATGGACTGAGTGTGGGACGCGCTAATTACCTGAAGGTGTGAAAGGGATATCATGACATAAAAAGGCTGAAAAGGACCGCGCTGAATACGGGTCAGCGCACTGGCTTCCGTCCCAGCTAATGTTTTCGTTGATATTTCATATTGCCAGGGTACATTTTGCGTCAGAACTGGGAATTACTGGAAACTGGAATCACATGGAAACATGTATCTCACAAACGGAATAAACTACTGTCTAAATATCATTATCCGAAAGGCAGCTGAGATCTTAAAAAAACAGGTAGCTTCATTGGCATTCCTCCAAGTATGTGACAAATCAGCCGCATTTAAAGAACTACGCAATTCGATATGTAAGGTTTCTGTTGACTTGGAACTGTCGGGGTAGACACAAATCTTCAACTCGGGACTTCCGGTTGATCGGATTGGCTGACAACAGAGCTCATAAGGTTGCTGAGAATTCTTCGACAGCCTACGACCGGTTTCGCCCTTCTTTGGGCTCATGAGGTTTTCAGCTACGTTCCAGGTGGGTTTCCCCTCAAAGCCAAATTGGTAACAAATTGAAGACTCGGAGATTGCACCCACCTGATGAGCCCCAGGAAGAGCGAAACCGGTCGTGGGCCGTCGGAGAATTCTCATCAACCTTGTGGGTAGTGTAATACATTCATTCATGTACCTCGATATCTCGAACATCGTACCAGCTGGAACATGAGGCAGTCTGGTGCAGCACATTTAGTTGCCTGGAAACATCACAAACGAGAGATTCAGCTGGATTCCAGACGAGTCTCTCGCAAAACCAAATTTATCTGCGAATGAGTGCATTTCGCCAAATGTGCCGCTTACTTTTGGAGGTAAAAGTGTCAACTTTGGGAAGTGCCGGTCCATTGGACACCATTCGCCACTCGACCGCTATTGCGCCCGTATAAACATACGTTTCGTGTTCACGATCAATCAATATTCGCGCAACCTGGGCTGGAGCGATCGACTGAATGTTCGGCCTAATGACCCACAAAGAACCTTAATTTAAAAGTGCATGTTGTCCGGCAGTAGCCCTTCAGTGGAGATGGCGGTAGTGTGCAGAGATTTTGGAATTCCCTCGGTGAAAAGATGAAGTTGCACAAAAGGAAATCCGTCCGAAATCCCATGCAAACGTTCGACCCATTTCCATTCACATGACAGTGGTTGATATCCTGCCGACATTTTCTGGCAAGGAGTGGGTTCGGTAACTGGAATTTGTTTGCGAATGGACTTTGTAGACGCAAACAAGTTGCTCAAAGATGAATTAAACCTCAGAATAAGTGTACTTGTTTTATAAAACGAAACATGCGTCGAACAGTTATTGATATTCTAGCAAAAACTCGATATCATTCCGAAAGATGATCATTTAATACTCTCGTCAAACTCTCGGACAATCAAACACCTACATGGTGGATAAATCACGTTCTAGTCTACGTGTAATCACAAAGCACCTTCATTTGACGGTAGCACAAATTCAAAAATCACTGATCGATGATTGTCTAGTACTTATCATTTAGTTATACTCCGCCCTACCCTCTGTGCCATCACAAACAAAATTTTATCAAATCCATATTTGTAATCTAGGTACGCACGTGACCCATATCTAAATGAGTGACTTCATTGTGACGAGGCCATGCCACACGACCGTGGTTTTTTCAGACTCTTGAATGGATGGCTCACATGAACATGGGCTTAGACTCACTTCCTAACATTCATTCTGCCATTTGCAGACCACACTGCATAGAAATACCAAAGTCAGCAAGTTTGGGACCGATATTGATGGCAATTTCACATAGACACGGCACACACGGCAGGTCGGTGTACTTATTCCAGATTTATCGACATCTATGTCACTGAGTTCACCTCGGTCCGCAGCAAGGTGAAGATTAGTGACTGAGGATTCTTGGCTTGGTTTGGATTCGTATCAATACAACTGTGACGCTAGCTAGCGGAATAGTGTGGCATTTTGTATAGGCTATATCGCTGAAAGGAAAGAAGGGGGAAGTTAAATAACTTAGATGTTCATCAGTGGTTTGTCGCCATGGTTTGAAATCAAGACAAACGCAATAGAATCCCATGCAACAATAGGCTGTGAAACGTCCTTCTGCAACCTTTTTAAACGTACCGCCAAGAAACCGTCCATGCTACCGAGGTGTGTTTTCAAGCACAGCAAGGAAGACTGTACAGCTGAAACCCAAAAATGTATGTTTTGGGTCACTTAATGTGCTTTATCGAGTATAGCTTACTGTGCACTCGTCATGTGTCTTTGTGTGACGCCTCGTCCCCTGATACTCTAAGGTGACTTACCTAAACCCAAACTTTATCCGTGTTTTCTTGCTGAGAGTCTACCCTGTTGATTCTACCAGACTAAGTTGCGTCACCCATGTGGACGCAGTTTTGTGTATGTCTAGAAGTTCTGCGATATGGTACACAGTCTTGAGTCATGCACCCTTGGATTCCTCAGATTCAGGAATGCTGACATGTAATACAGGAGTATAGAACAGAACTTATCGAATGTGTTGCCATTTGTGCCTCGAGTTTCCAATTCGAAAAGTCTGTGTTCAAAAATTTCCGAATTCTAACTAAGGTACTTCGAAAACGATAATGATGACCACCTTGAATTCGAAAATTCGTATTCAACCATATCGATCAAAACGAAGGTGATTTCCAGGTGTTTGTTTAAAAAGGTGTACCATTAACAGAACCGTAACATGTCTTCTAGATCGGGAGCACCTGCATGTCTGGTTCTCTCCCAGACATGCGTCGTCACAAATCTACTTCCACACTTGAGGATGCGTTGTTCGCAATCATTAAAAATTAAAAGCAAAGACTACCACTTGAGAAAAAAGTGCTTTTGTTGCTGCAGACCGTTTAGGACGAGGATACGGTTAAAAACCGTATAGTGAAATACGCTCCCTTACATACCGATTTGGTTTTCACGGGAGACCCAACTGAATCTCTGGTTCTTTTTTAACTGAATGTGCTGCTGCCTTATGTTTCAGTTAGTACGATAAGCCAGTTACGTAATGCGTTGTACAGCTGTAACACACTACTCAGAAGGTCGCTGTCGAACAATCTCCAACAGCCTTATGGATACGTATGTACGATCAACCGGATAAGTAAACTCTTCTTGATTTCTTCACCTCCTGAGTTGTGAAGTGCTTTGTCCATGCATTTCTTCTAATAATTCGGAAAACTACCATTAACAGTAATAACAGGAGACTCCCGTTTCCAACCCTGTTATTCTTTTTACAGTGGGATTTTGGGTTTTCATCTCCGTTCCAGGAAACTTCCGCGGCTGCGCTGGTACTATCCAATAGCAGTCAGCGAACAAACTGACCAATCATCGGAAATTTGCAAAGTGAGTAATGCTTTCACAACTGCGGTGTCCCTACAAATTTCCACATATTAGTCACAGCATTTATCGGTGCCCTATCTTACTACAGACACCTCAATAAGTATTGTATTCACTGTGCTACGGAGAAAGACTGTCAGTTACAACCAAACCGTACGCAGACCGGTCGGTTTTATATGCTGGGTGTCGCGTACAAGACAAAAGCCATGTTGCCTATCGCAGTCGGGATCTGGATCAATCTAACTTGCATTCGTAGGGGAACCCCGGTAGACCTGGCCTTAGGAACCGATCAGTTCATTCGGAAATTTTTGAAAATACACACTTGTCTCCCGGCTTCAATGAGGTTGATGTTGAACGAGTCCATCTGGTTTGAGATTGACTGGTCCATAAGTTCTTGTTTATGAAGGCTTAAAACTTTGAAACGGCTTATCGGTCGCAGCAGCTATGTGGACTGACATCTTGTGGCTGATTAACTTAGCAATAAGAATCGTTGACTACGTTAATGCTGTGCGGAACCTCAAGCTTACCGCTTCTCATTTGCCGGAACTTCATTGTTGCTTTAATAAGATGGATGTGTTCTACCAAGAATGATGAACGGCTGGGTAAAACGGGAACATTCACCAAAGGCCTGTCAAAGTAGAAATAGCTCTCTCACGTTCAGCCAGAATGGTTTTATTCATTCTGAGAGGTGACTCTGTCCATGCAGACATGCAGCGTATGTGGAAGATAGTTGCGCAATCATCAAAGTAATGAAGTGACGTAAATTGGAGGAACTGATAGGACCACGGCGCACAATGAGTCAGGGTCAACAAAGTGCCGGGTCAAGTGGGGAATAACATGATTCCAGGGGTGCTCGTTTTCATAGATAAACGTTCGTATTTGAATCTGGTACAGAGCTTGAGACAAAATAAGCCGAGGTGGGCGCTGATCATCCAATAAGATTCAATATGTAAATTGAGGATAAGCATAAAAGCTGACTACGAAAATTATTACAATTAGAGATTTGTTACGGTAACTTAGCTTTAGGACTGCAACTTTTCTGTTAAACAGTGTATATGAAAGTATAACAATCAGCAGCATGTGATAACGAATTTAAAAACAATATTGAGGGAAATGGATAGCACTTTCAGACTGGCAGAATAAAAAAGTTTTTTGTGAAAATCAATTTCAGTATGAAGCGGTTAGCTGAGCTTATCCGATGGGATGATCGAAGTTACCAATTCTGATTATATGCAAGCGGTCACTCGGATCTTGTTTTAGCTTAGTGAGCTGTGGTGGAAACATAGCTGCACCCAGGACTATTCGACAACACTTTTCGAGTTTGTTCCGTCCAGTTTTTGATTGCATATAAGTTTCCGAATTGCTGCACCCACAAACTAACACAATATAGTAAATAATTACCTGTGTTCTTAGCACCAAAAGCCCTAATTTCCATTTTGAAAAGTGTGCATATCCCTCTTTCCTCCATTTTCTGGCTTATCGCATTACCAAACATATTGCTCGTTCTTGGACCACTCGGTGAAGAAAGTCATGTTTATCTTCGTAATGTACTACTCGTAAGGTTGTTGAAAGTCCGTCAACAGCCCACTACCGGTTTCGCCCTTTTTGGGGCTCATCAGGTAGGCGCAGTCCCCGGGTTTCCTTATGTTCTACTTGAAACCAGATTGCACGAAATTAGCCAATATACACTCGTTTGCAAACTAATTTGGTTTTTTCGAGAGACTCACCTGGAACCCAGCTGAATCTCTTGTTTGTGATGTTCTCAGGCGTGTATATTTGCGTTGCCACACTTTTCTCGTCTGTAATTCACTTGAACTCCAATCCCACTTGATCACGCCGGAGTGTCCTCCCATTTTCCTGGAAAGAAATCTTGCGTCATCATGTGTGGTAATGAGCTCCTATAAGAGAAAGCGTCATTGGAGAGAGGTCTGTTATAAAGGTCGTTGAATTTCCGGTCATCTTGACGCGCGCATTCCAAAAACACAATGCAAGAACGGTGTGTCGGATAGAGGAGTACGGTGATTCTTCTTTTAACACGAGGTCGGCCAAAAATGTTCCGTCGTGTGACAAGTGTCGCCAACTTTATTTAGTCTATCTTTAAATGAGCTCGCTGAAAACCACCTTTTACTTCCATTTCCACTCATTGCCTATTCGCTCGGATTCTTTGAGTTGATTAAGTGAACCGAGTGAGAACAGTCACGTTTATTTTACACCATTTATTGCGGTCACAACTTTACATTTCCACTGGAGTCTTTTTCTTTTTCACTCTTAATGGTCAGTGTGTTTCTCAGTGTGTGCTCTGAGTGGGGTTGTCCTCAGTTCCCCTTTCATTTTCTTGTACGCATTCTCTCTAGACTGTCCAGAAGGTTTTTCCGTGCGTAGGATTTAGCTATTTGCAACCAGTTACTGTTACCATGATGAAACTCACCAAATCCGCCGT